GCGCCTCCTCCCCGCGGGCCCGGCTCCGAGCGCGGCTGGGTGCTGGGGCTCGGCGCCTTCCGTTTCCCTGCTTTTCTGTGTGTGCGTTTCCTCCCAGATTCGCTAACGTCAGACCAGTTTGTGTTCTTGCTGTTGTTTTGAAAAGCACAGTTATTTGCGAAGACCTGTTTGGCAGGTGCGAATGCTTCGGGAAGAAATCCCGAGAAAATGCTGGCATTTTGCGTTGCGTTCGTTATTGAAAAATAGTTCGCTGGGTTTTGTGTGTGTTTCCAGAATGTTTTTAATACAGTCGTGTGATTTTAATTATCTACCTAATTCTTTTATATGTGACCAAGGCTTAAGAGAATCGTATTTACCTTGTAAGTCAATTAGTGGTTTTGTCCCCCTTCCTATTTTTCCTAAAGGAAAAACCCCACAGCTCTGCCATTGTCAGAGTCCTCCCCTGGTTTATCTATTCATGCAACAAGTATACAATATATTAAGTCGCTAATATATGCCAGGCACTATCCGTAGCTGGCGACGCCGCAGCGAACGCAGAAATTTTAGCTTTCTTGGAAACAAGCCGTAAACATAAGTACGCTAGGTGTTCCGTTTGGTGGTACACGCTAAGGGGAAGCGTCGAGGGGAGCAAAGGGTTGGGGTGCTGGGGTGAGGGTTGCAGCGGAAAGCACGAAGTCTGCATTGCCTTGTGTAGGCACAGCGCTCCCCGCCGCTGAGCCCTGCTTTCTGCAGGGGAACGGGCCGCCCACACAGCTGGCTTCCAGACCTGGGTGGTTTAGCCAAGGACCCTCAGCGGGGCAGCTGACTCCCAATTCAGGGCCTCGCCTGTTTATCCTTGCTTGGAAACACCTGTTGGCGGTTACAGTTTTTGGATGGAATGTTCAGGGTATCAAGCCTGGGAGTGTAGCTTATTGGCGGAGTGCTTCTTCATACCTGTTCGGGGCCCTCGGGCCGTTCCCCAGCACCAAACAACAAATAACCCGCCCAGGGTTTGAGCTGGCTTGGAGGCTGCTGAGTTCATTGGGGAATAGGGAAAAGTGACAAGGCTGAGATATGCTAGGACTTCTGAAGAAACGCAAGGAACCACAGCGGCTTGCTTGGGTCTACCCTGTGGGAATACAGGACAGGATGTCTGAGAGGTGAATGTTTTTTTATGGGCTGTAGATTTCCAGCTGCCTAAGATTGGAAATCACTTGAAGTTTTGAACATATGGCTTATATTTAATCTGTTTTTTTGTACCGGGGATCGAACTCGAGACCATACCCTTGCGAAGCAGGCGGTGGAACCATTGAGCTAAATGGCTTATATTTTAAAAGGGTGACTTGAGTTGCTGCTGTAAAAAAGGAAAGCGAAAAGGTGGAAGCAGAGAGTAGGTTAAAATCAAGGTGTCTCTGGGACTGCTCCTTCCAGCCGTTCTAGGGGGCATCCACCATCCTCAGTCTGCAGCGGTCCTGTCGCAAAGACAGTAGTGCTTACATTGCTTTGCTCCGCTCCGTAATCTAAGGGTAGTTTCTGTATCTGAAGACTTAATTCAGCTGCACATGCCAAATTTCTTTACCATGGAAAATAGTACTAACAGGTTTTGGGGACTGGGATAGGGTCTTTGGAAGACCAGACCAGATGAGAGATGGTGCCTTAGGCCACTTGAATAGTGATGAAGGTGGAAATCGATACAGCCCTGGATATGTCTCAAAAGTACCAAATGGGATTTACTGATGGATCAAGATGGTCGAGATGCGGGGTTCAGGAAAAAAATGAATTTAGGGTGACTGCCTATTTGGATGATTCATGTGGAAAGATAATGCGGGCATTGTGAATAGTTTATTAAATTATCAGCTGGTTTTGCAGTATTGTTTTTCAATGTGCAGTTTCTCAACTTGCAGTTCAGTAGGATTTGTATTTTGGTTTTTTGTTTGTTTTGGTACCAGGGGTCGAACTTGGGTCCTTGTGCTTGCAAGGCAGGCAGCAGAACCACCGAGCTAAATCCCTGATCCAGGATTTGTATTTGTATATCCATTAGATTTTGAGATTTCTGAAGACAAGGATTGTTTCTGGTTTTTGCCCTTTAGTTTGTCCCTAATGTTTGGAGTTATGGTAGGCCCTCACTATGTACTAAATAAAAATGATAAGCTGGACTCTGCTTATTATATTTTACTATGTGAAGTATTTACAGAATCCTTTGTATGTTTGTGACAGTAAAAATATTTACACGTGAACAAGTGAAAGTATTACGTGCCATTATGTTTATTTAAGTAAGTATGCAGTGTAGAAGTTTTACTCATCTAATGCTATTTTTTCAGAGATTTATAACATCTCTCCTGTGATGTTAAGTGTTTCGGTTTTAATTTTCTAGTTACATAAAAAGTTTCACTATGAAAATAGAATGATCTGCTTATTCAAAAATTTGGGGGACCTGTTTCTGATGACTCCTTAGAGAGAATGTTGCTAAAGTTTGGTATTTTCTATGGGAGTGGACCAATGAATGTGTTTTCTAGCAATATTATTGTGAATATTCTATAAAGCAGAGCAATGTGGGTTTCAGACAGCTTTGGATCTTGCCTATGTTTTCTTTTTCTTTTCTTTTCTTTTCTTTCTTTTGTTTGTTTGTTTGTTTTTTGGTACTAGGGATTGAACTCAGGACCTTGTGCTTATATGAGGCAGGCAGCGGAACCACTGAGATAAATCCCAGGCCTGCCTGTGTTTTCTTAGTTGTTTATGTCAGATGAAGTTTAATAGGCCACAGATTGAATTTTATTGTCTGGCTGTCTCTTAGGGTAAGAACTGTAAGAAGAAACTATAAGTAATATATTTTATGTTAATTGCAGTGTTGATACATATTCTGTATAAGTGGTTTCCCCTCTCATGGCATGGCAGGATTTTTGTTCTTTTGCTTTGTTTGTTTGTTTGTTTTGGTACTGGGGCTCGAACTCAGGACCTTGAGCTTTCGATGTAGGTGGTGGCAGCAATGAGCTAAATTCCCTGGCCCTTGTTTCGCTTTTTTTTTTTTTTTGAGAAAGGGTTTCACTAGGTAGTCTAGGCTGGCCTCGAAGTCACAGTGATCCTCCTGCCTCAGCTTCCTGAGTGGTGGGATTAACAGGAGTGCACTACCACATTCAGCTGGCATGGCAATTTGTTTTTTGTTTTTTGTTTTTCCACTACCCAGGATCAAACTCGGTACCTTGTACTTGTGAGACTGGCCTGGTGCCACTGAGTTAAATCCATGGCTCTGGCATGGCAATTTTGAAAGGAACCTAGAGGTTATCTATTTACTCTGTGGCTTTTCAGACTCTTGAAATTAGATTTAAGACACTTGACCATGCCCAGGATCTCTTCATCTGATTCACTGTCTGTCCAGGGTACTGCAGCTGACCTTTTTGTACATTTATTGGATTTATGCTCTATTATGCTTATATTTATAATTATAGTTGTACTTCAATTTAGTACTGTATTATGAAACAGTGCTTGTAGAACTAAACTTGAGGTAATATTTACTTGCAGTACTGGAAACTGAAATTGAGGCCTTTGCATTGAACTACATCCCCAACCCCTTTTCAAATTTGTTTCTTTTCTTTTTGTTTTTTTTTGAGACAGGGTCTCACTATGTAGTTGAGACTGACCTGGAACTCTCTGTGTAGCCCAGGCTGGTCTCGAACTCACAACAATCCTCCTGCCTCAGCCTCCCGAGTGCTGGGATTACAGGTGTGCACCGCCAAGTCTGGCAGATTCTTTTCTTCTTGAAACAATGTCTCTGTTATCCACGCTGAGCTTGAATCCATGGTCTTTTCGGCCTCAGCCTCCCAGAGTGTTGGATTATAGGCATGTGCCACTGTGCTCAGCCAGTAGTTTTTGTTTGTAAATCTGGGTATTTTTAGGCATGAGAAGTGCTTATATTTTTATGTGAGTTATTGGCTTAGCAATTATATTAGGGAGAACAAAGTATTCTTTCTGTGTGTTGTGCTGATATTTATTCAGAATGAATTATTTATGCTTCCATGTAGAGGAATTTATATATTTTGGATTAAAAAACTCTACATATCCACACTCAGTTGAAGAGTAAGGTTTTTGGGTTTTCTTTTTTTGGTACAGGAATCAAACTTGGCCTTATGCTTGCCTGGCAGACGCTGCACCGGTGAGCTGCATTCCTGGCCCAAAGAGCAAGTTTTTCCTGGGAATTATGATCCATAAATAGTTCACCAGGTGTGGTGGCATGTAGCTGCAGTCCCAGCTACTTGGAAGGCTGAGGCAGGAGGATTATTGAACTCTGAGAGTTCCGTTCCAGCTGAGCAGCAAAAGGAGACCATCCTAGAAAAAGAGCCTAGAGTGGTCCCTGTCTTTGCCTCTGGTGGTCTTTGAGACGCTGATGATAATAGGGACGGTATGGATTAGATATATATTTTTCTATGCTGTATGTTATGCCATAGCACTGTACAAATAAAAATGCAGTTTATAAGGGATTCATACTTTTTTTTTTTTGGTACCGGAAATTGAACTCAGTACCTTGCCCTTGCAAGACAGGTGCAGGCACTGAGCTATATCCCTGGCCGGATTCATGCTTTTTAATTGGTGTTAGCAAGTCAGTACTCTGCTTTCTGCAGTAGTACTTTTTCCCCTTTGGGAGACAACTAGGAACCTAGAATATTTCAGCCATGCTTTGATTAATCACTTAACGTTTTCCTCTTTGTTTTCCTTTTGATAGTATATTTATTGAGGTCTGTTCAATCCTTCTCCTTCTCTTTTATTCCTAAAAACAAAAACAAAAACCTTAAATTTCTCAGCTAGTGCACTTGGCTTGTTTTGCTGATGCTATGATCTGTTTTGGAATGGAGTCTCACTGTGTTGCCCAGGCTGGTCATCAGCTCTTGGGCTTAAGTGACCCTTTCATCTCAGCTTCCCTTGCAGCTGGGACTACAGGTGTGCCCTGTCATGCCTGGTTCTTAGCCTATGTTTTTGGGCTCCCTGTATTCAGTTGGCTTTACTGTTGGTCCTTGATGAAGTCTTTTCTGGTAATAGCTTAGTGAGCTCCTCAGTTTATTTGTATATACCTACATACAAATGCAAAATAATAATGCATTCTTGACTAATTTATCTGCTAACCCTAACATCAGTGAAGCATCAAAGTACAAAGTGTACCACTTTTTAAGCACATATTTTAAGGCGATTCCTTTGGTGTACAGCATTTGATTTCTTAAGTTCTCAGGATTCTGTTGGCTTTGACATTTTCCCAGTTTGCACTCATACTTGCTTCCCTTTTCAGAGGGGTTATCGCTGCTATGAATCATTGGGGTTTATTTTTTGATTTTTTGTTTTGCTTTTTTCTCTTGTGGCTAGCTGCTGCTTTCTTTTAGCTACAGTGCAAGTCCACCCTTTTAGAGCACTTGAGTTTTTTACAAGATTGGTATAATGTGATAAAAGGGCATTTACTTATGGATAAGGATTAGTATTTAGAAATTCTACAGAGGCTGACATTTTCAGAGGGAGATGACAATTAAAAAGTTAGAATTGAGATTCCAACAGGAACTTTTTATGATGGAACTGTATTGCACCACCATCCTTTTCCCTATATTCAGGTAGATTGTTAGATTTATTTCTTTTCCAAACTCTTCGATGCGTAGGTGGTAGCTTCCTTTATTTTTTTTTAATTTTTTTTTTTTTTTTTTTTTTTTTTTTTAGTGTTTTTTTTTTTTTTATTTTTTTTTTTTTTTTTTTTTTTTGAGACAGGATCTTGCTTTGTAGCCCAGGCTGGCCTTGGACTCAGGATGATCTTCTAGCCTCAGCCTCCCGAGTGCTGGTGTGCACCACCAAGCCTGGCTCTTGTCATTAAAAACTTTTGAAGCGGGGCATGGTGGCCCACACCTGTAATCCCAGCACTCGGGAGGCTGAGGCAGGAGGATTGCTGTGAGTTTGAGAGCAGCCTGGGCTATATAGTGAATTCCAGGTCATTCTCAACTACATAGCGATACCCTGTCTCAAACAACAAACAAACAAAATATTTGAAAGACAAATTCAGTGGCATAATTTACCAAGAAGTTACAACATGTAGAAAGAGTAGACACCTATGATAAATGACGTTAATCATAAATTTAGCTGGGCACGTTGGTACATGCCAGTAATTCCAGCTACTCAGGAGGCTGAGGCAGAAGATCAGGAGTTTAAGGCCAGCCTGGGCAACTTGGCAAAGTGTCTCAAAGCATGAAGAAAAGAAAGTCTAGGGAAATAGCTCAATGTGAGGCTCTGAGTTCAATCTGTGATACCACACACACACAAAAAAGATGCACACACAAAATCATACATTCAGAAGTACCTGCATTTGTAGAAAACCCTTTAGCATAGACTATAGTTACAGACATAGGAGATACCATAATCATAGATAATCAATGTTACACAAAGCTGTGCCCTTATTGATAAGGCAAAGATTTTTCTGTTGTAGTTATGTTGAAAATATAAAGGAGAGAAAGTCCCTTACGAGAATTGGTGTGCAAGGAAGGAAGTGGTAAATATTCTTGGGAGATCTAGACTACAGAAAGATAATTTCCTGTATTTGCCACCTAAGAATGATGGTTGCATCACAGAGAAATGGTTACTTGCCTTACAAGTAAAATACAGTGTTCTGTTCTAGAAATGAATGCTGTGTTGTTACTATGTTACATTAATTTTGCCATTAACCTTTTTTCTGTCAGCTGACTAGTTGTGAGTGATTTGGGTCATAGAGAATTACTGATTGAGAAAATAAAGAAGATTTAAGGAAACTTCATTTGTTGCTCAATGTTTTCACAGTTGGTAAAACTAATAGTGCTGGGCAACGCACATGTATACAAAGATAGCTCATGTTCTGGCACCATTAAGATATGTTCTGTGTTGGATTTTTAGTTGTCACTGTCCCAAGTGAACAGATATTTAGCATCCGCTTTGTTACAGATGACCTTGACTATGGGGAGTTGTGTCATCCCTTTTAGCTAGCATTATGGCATGTCCATTTGTAGGTAAGAGAATTGGAGGAAAGGAGGAGCTGGTGGGAGATGGCAAAAAGTCATGTAGAACTTTGAATTTATCAGATTATTCTGTTTTATTTAATGATCTTTTTTCCCTTTCTGCCTTGGCTTCTGGTACTTTGATTTCTAGAAAACAGAAGCCTTGAGGATATTTGAAAAAACCATGTTACCTGAACTTGATATTTCTTGGATATAAATTGGAAAGTTAGGAAAAATGAATTTTCCTTTTTCTAGTTAGAAGTGCCCGGGTAATTTTTCTAGCACTGTCTGTGCCTCCTTAAAAAGTATTACTAAAACGCCAGGCGTGGTGGCACACGCCTGTAATCCCAGCACTCTGGAGGCTGAGACAGGAGGATCACTGTGAGTTCGAGACCAGCCTGGGCTACATAGTGAGCTCCAGGTCAGTCTCAACTACATAGTGAGACCCTGTCTCAAAAAACCAAAAAAAAAAAAAAAAAAAAAAAAAAAAAAAAAAAAAAAAGTATGACTAAAAGAGCCTGTGTGACTACCAAAATCCAGTTTTTCATTCTCCCGAGAACAGATTGACAATAGTACTAATATTATTAATAATTTAATAATTCTTTTTAAAAAGTCAGATCCAAAAAAGAAAGTCAGGTCCATTCTCTGTCCAAAATTTTATCTCCCTACCTCTTTAAAGCTTTACTTAAATGTTTATTTTCCCGGGTAAATGTTGATCAGTAGGCAGTCTCTTTCAAGGATTAAAGATTTTATTGGATTCCTAAAGATTTATCAATTCCTAAATAATTTTTCATGTAAAATGTTATTTTTTTTTAAAGCAGTTGTTGGGCCAGGAAAGTGTAGCTCAGCGGCCACAATGTCTACCAGGCAAGCACAAGTCCCCAAGTCTGATTCCCACTGCCACAGAAATAAATAAAAGCAAGGAGTGCATGTGTGTTGTAATATTACAGTAAATCTAGATTATCTCTGAAGATAAGAATTCATTTCAGTGATTGCCCTAAGGGAGCAAATGGGAGACTGGGGAATGGGATTTGGAAAGATTCTTATTCTGTATTTCCTTTTTTATATTCGAAATTTATCCTGTGTGTATATTTTTGATTAAATTTAAACTTCAAAAGAAAGAAAAAGATACATTTCAACAGTAAAGGCCTTCTGTTCTCTTCACAGCGATATCCTGAGAGAAGATGGGAAAGGGATGCAAGGTTGTGGTTTGTGGATTATTATCTGTGGGGAAAACGGCAATTCTGGAGCAGCTCCTTTATGGGAATCATACTATTGGTAAGATTATTTTGCTTTAGTTTCTCCCATTGTTGGTGATCCTGGTCTCGGGTCCCTGTTCTGGGTGCCCCCTGTAGCTGAATCTCCTGGCTGTCCTTGCTCTGGGACCTGCTACTTTGTTCCTCCCTGACCCGGGGTGACAGAGTCAATTTAACCTGAGGCAGCCGAAGGGGCTGAGTACCTCTAGGAAGCAGGAGGAGCTCCGAGCCTTTGGCCCGCCTCACTTTTAGTCTCGTAAACATGGGCCCGAGCAATCAAGGTAACACAAGATTCATCTGGTTTCCGGTATCTGTTAGTACACTCTCTGGTAAACAACCTCAGCAGTCTTAACTTTTCCCTCATATGCAGTCACCAGAGAGTTCAGCCTTTCTCCTTTGTGCTCACAGGGGAGGCCAATTAGGCCTCAATTGTCCTCTGGTCCTCGACCTCCCAGGGCTGTAGAAAAACCTTTGAACTGGTGGAGAGCTTTCATTGGTCATCTAAAGAGTGCCAGTGGTGTAAAACAGTGAAGTAGGAGAAAAGATAGGGGAGACGAGGAAAATCTTGATTTTACTGCAATTCAGTGGTGCTTGCTGTAAGTTATGACAGATGAGAACAGGCTGACATACAGAAAGGAGTATACTTTTGCGTATGTGTGGTCTCCTGTGAATTTACATGCAAATAAATTGCGGCTTAGCAGTCAGAGTCAGGTCTGGGGATTTAGCTCAGTGGTTCTGCTGCCTGCCTCCTGTCTTGAAAGCGCGAGGACCCAAGTTTGATCCCTGGTACCAAAAAAATAGTGTCATAGAGTCAGTCATTGACTATAGAATACACTGAATGAGCTCTCATTCTGAAATGTGACTTTCTAATACAGTATTGTTTTACAATTTTTAAAAATGGAAAAAAAGTTATTTGCTGCAGTGTGGCCTAATTTTGTGGATTGGATTATCATTTATTCAATGAGTCAAATATTAAATATTTGCTATATGATATAGGGTGTGATTTCTCATAGAGTTACACAGGTAAAAGAAGACAGCATTTTAAAAAGACAGTATTTCTAGCTTTAAGGAGGTCCTGGGTTTAGTAAGGGAGACAGACATTACAGGTTAGAATTAAATGAGGTTTATGTAAGAGATATAGATCTTCAAAGCATTTCTTTCTGGAAAATAGTTTAGATTACATTTTTATCTTTTATTACCAATTTTATTAGGAATCTCTATTCTGGCTTTGCAAAATAATATTTATAATTTTGGTGTGGTTTTTTTTTTTTGGTTTTGGGTTTTTTTTGGCTTTTTGAGACTGACCTGGAACTCACTATGTAGCCCAGGCTGTTCTCAAACTCACAGCGATCCTCCTGCCTCAGACCCCCGAGTGCTGGGATTACAGGCTTGCATCACCATGCCCGGCTAATTTTGATTAAATTTTAATTTAATGTCTATTACATTTGTGCCTGTAGTTCTCAATTATTTTGGTTTTAGAATCCATTTACTCCCTTAAAACTTAACCCAGAGTATATACAGTAGGTATCTTACTTATCTTGTGGCTGATACAAAATACCCAATGCCCAAAGCTAAAGAAGGAAAGGTTTATTTGGCTCACAGTTTGTAGGCTTTCAGACCTTGCCTTCGAGGCAGTACAGCATGGAGCATGGCGGATAAGCATCAAAGAGGAGAAACAATTCATGGCAGGCAGAAAGTAGCAAAGCAAACAAAGGACTGTAGTAGCCACTTTGTGCTCCTTGTATATTCTATCTAGGCTACTGAGATTAGGGCAGTGCCAAACCAATCTGTGGGCTGACTGAGTAATCATACCCTTTAATCCCAACATTGCACCATGAATGAGTCACATGCTCTAGACCCAGGCAGCAAGCCCCACTTGTGACCGCATGAGGCTTTGGGGGCACATCTAGACACAAGACATAATATTCTGCCTCTTGGCCCTCCAGAGAGTTATGTACATTCTTTATGCAAAAGGCATATAGTCCATCTTTAAGAGTTGCCAATCTTCTGAGTTTCAGCATTGGTGAAAAGTCCAAGCCCAAAGTCTCTGAGATTTAAGGCAAGCTCTTAGCGGTGGGCCCCTGTACAATTGAAAAGTTAAGCACTTCTAATATTCCGTGGCATGAGATAGACATTTCCATTCCAAAAGGTACAAAGAGGCAGATAGAAAGGAATGGGACCAAGGCAAGTCCAAAATTCAATAGGGCAAGCATTAATTCCTGTAGTTCTATGTTCAGCATCTGAGGCAGTCTGTGGCAAGTTGTGAACTCCAAAGAATTTGAGTGGCTCCACCCTGTGGCATTTCTGGTGGCTTCTCTCTTGGGCCAGTTCTGCTCCCTCCTTGCAGTTTTCCTCAGATGATCCTCGCTCCTGTCTTCTTCAACCTTCTGGGGTCTCCACTGCACCTTCAGTTTCACACTCACAGCTTCATACACTGCCCTCTCAGTGGCACACAGCCTGGCCTCCCAGGCCTTCTAGTGAAATCTAGGTGGGGGCCCAGGATGTAGCTCAGCGATGCCGTGCCTGCCTGCCTGCCTGACTGGTAAACACAAGGCCCTGAGTTGGATTCCAAAAAATAAAATACCAAAAAAAGCCCAAATCTAGGTGGAAACCTTCCTGACCCCACAAATCTTGCATTCTGCATGCACCTAAAATCAGTACCATGTGGATGTGCCACATGGTACTGGAGCAGGAGCCAGGCTTCCTTTTCTCTTGGCTATAGGTGTCCAGTGCCTACGAACCAAATCCCGAGGAACAACTTCCATAGGGCATAGCCATTCTGGAACATGGTGCTCTGGGACTGTCTTAAAGCAGTCTTTCACCTCTGCAGTTTTGAGGCTGCCAGACTAGAGTCCTGCTGTTTCATGTGATGTCCTCAGGCCATTTTTCTATTCCTCTTCCTTCTCAGCTATCAAGATCTCTGCTCTTAATCTTTTCACGCCACAGCTTTACTGGTGCTTCCTTTCTGGCCAAACTCAAAACCTTTTAAATCATGCTGCTGGCCTCTTTGCTCTTCATTCTCGATATAGATCTGGCTGAAAGCCCCCAGCAGCAGCCATTCCATGGCCTCTACATTAGACTGCTTTGAAATTTCTTCTGCCAGATTCATTAGTCTGCCACCCTTAATCTAATCTCGTGGAAAGTCTCTGGACATGAGCAAAATGCAAATAAACTTTCTGTCACGGTATAGCATACGTCATCTGGAGTCCAAGAGCCAATGCAGGCCTTCTTCCCAGCAGAAACCTCTGGAAGCCTGGTCTTTACTGGTTGGATTTCTGTCAGCCTTCTGGCTTTCTGAGCTCTGCCAGAGTCTCCCATTAAGTACAGTGTTCCAGCTCTACTTTTTCAATCAGCATCTCTGAATCTTTCCAAACTCTTTTCTACAAGCCAGTCCCAAGGGCTCCTGAAGCACATAGTCAGGTACAGTCACAGCACCAACCCCACTTTTCTGGTACCAAATTCTGTATCAGTCAGTGTTTACTGGAGAAACAGATGTAAATTCTTATATATTTGTATGTCTTCTTATAAGATTGGGTTACAGTGGCCGCCACAGAGTCAGATGAGGAAGAGTACAGAGGGTCGGTCTGTCTCAGGAGGCTGATGGATCTGAGATGAAAGGCTAGAGTCTACTCCAGCAGGCTGAGGGCTGCACTGAAAGCCAGGAGATGATGTCTGAGGTGATAGCAAAGATTGGAGCACCTCTGAAGAAACAAGCAGATCTGTCCTTCTGCATTTCCCCTTTATGCCATCCTAGGGTAGGTGTTCCACCCTGGAATTGTTGAGCCAATTTAGTTGAGCTTCTCTTAACTCAAGTTGACACAATCAACCATCACAGTAGGGTGTACCTTTTTTTTTTTTGGTACTGGGGATCGAACTCAAGACTTTGTGCTTGCAAGGCAGACATTGTGCCACTGAGCTAAATCCCCAGCCCAGGCTGGATCTTTTTAACTCACTGTATTAAATATTACAATGGAAATAATTTTAAACTACTTGAAAACTCCTGAGATAGTTTTATGAAAAATTATATTTTCAAAATAAAAATTAGTAAGGCTTGCATTCATTTATATTTTGAAAATCTAACCTTTAACTTTATAGTTAGCTGGATTGTGGTATCTATTTACGTTTGTATTTTATTATATTATGGTGTTTGAGTTGAAATATGTGAAGAAAATCCAAGCTCACGCAGACATGTAGTTGGAAGAGGTAGGAGGAATATTTAATGGCTTTTCCAGAGAATTAATGGGTATTTTTCTTTGTTATTTCAGTAAAACTCAAATGATGGTTAAAGGTTATTACAATGTAGATTTTGAAACCATGTTGGTGAACTTGTTGTACTCTGTTGAATTAGAATTTCATTGATCTATCTTGCATTTTAAATGAGTCTTTTACCCAAGTCTGCTGACATCATGAATTGGTCACTTGAAAAATATTGCTTTGAGCTGGGTATGGTGGTGCACACTTGTAATCCCAGCACTCGGGAGGCTGAGTCAAAAGGATCATCGCAAGTGTGAGGCCAACCTGAACTACACAGACCCTATCTCAAAAAATAAAATAAGATAAAATGAAGAAAAAAAAAAAAGGAAAATACCAGTGTGCTGAGGTGAGCGGTCTTCCACATCCCATTTGTTAATATCACTACCAGTCTCATTGGTACTCGGAAGCTGTGGAGTGCATGGTGATGCTCGGAAGCTCACATCTCATTATCGACCGCAAATACTGTTATTTCTTGGAAATGCTACACACCTTTTATTAACTTTTGAGAAAATGTCAAATAGCCTCAACCATAACTTTTTGTCATTCCTTCTTTTGAAAAACTGGCTAGTTGAGGGCCGGGAATTTAGCTCATTGGCACTGTCACCCGCCTGCTAGCACAAGGTCCTGAGTTCAATTCCTGATACAAAAAGAAAAATTGCAAGTATAAGATGGTAAAGAATCTAATGACAAATCTAATACACTTGGTGTTACTACCTTGAGTTATGGCAAGGTGCCAGCAATTTTACCCACTGTTGCTTCTACACTGCC